GACGAGAAATAGCAGGTTAAGTTAGAATGAGATGTTGAAAAAAAGGATATTAGGATAGATATATCTGGGTAGAAAGCTGTTCAATCTGCCAGGATACTTTACACATGGTTCAATTTGTCTAGAGAAAGAAATTAGATATCCCCTCGGAATCTCTTCCATCTTGCAGACTATGAGCATTGGGAATTGTGCACACTGGGAATACTCCCCTATGGACTTGCAATGCCAATTTCAATCTGGATTCAAATTTTATTGACAAAGTGAGACGATTCAGACATAGACATTGCTGGTTGCAAGTTCTCTTGTTCTGTCTGGTCATAACTACTAGCCCAAAGACAAAACTATTCACTTCTGAAAGGAGGGGCTGAAGCATTAATGTGTGCTGAAGTTTTCATTCCTCCCAGAGGAATCCTAACCACTGGAGGCTTGCAGAACTCAATTTCTTCTCTGTGAGCAATTTAACTTTGTAGAAATTGTTACATATTTAGTGGTGCAGAAAGTGATGCCCCTGTTTCCCCCACCCTTATTAGAATAATCAATAGCCCCAGTGTTTATTCATGTTGTGATAATTGGGTTTTAAGGCAAATTTGACCACAGTGAAAGCAGTGACTTTAAAAACTCGCCACACTGGTGTTCTTGAGAAAAGACTTCAGATCACCTTCTAAAGCAGTGCAGGAGTTGAGGGCAGAACTTAACACATTGGGAAATGGAACTTGATGGCTTCAGAATTATAGTATGTGATGGCTATGGGAACGTTTTTGCCAACAAGTGCCCTCTGTCTCTGCTGCAGACAGATTGCTCTCTGTTGTGAGGAATAAAGTAACATCAGTATTATTTCAGTTTAACATCAAGAGGTGACTGAAATAATGAGTGTGATGGGTAGTGTCAGCATGAAAGAATGAAGCTAACATTTTCCTGTTACTTACAGTTTGTTTTTCTTGCATGCTGTTTGTAAGAATTTCCTGTATTCACTTTGTAGTGAGCTAAATCAATATTCTGTATATTTAGGTTTCACAGGCTTTCTTCTTACACTGTGGAGCTCATCACAGCCAACATCTGGCAGCTGGCTGGGAAGCCTTTTTGTTTTATTTTATTTTTTCCAGAGGATGAGAGCTGTTTTGAAATTTCTGGCTAGGTAAACTGAAATATACATCATTTGGCACAGATGTTACTGACTCAGCTGAACCATATTCGAAAAAGTGATTCAGAAGCAAAGCAGGTAACAGTGACAATCTGTTCTGCTAGTAGATTCATAATAAGAGCACAGATGCGCTGTAGGGTACATCTGTGATGTAGAGCACAGATGTAGGGTTATGCTTTCTCCCTCCTTTGGGTCTTGAGGTAAAAGACATGGTGTAATGTAAAGAAAGAAAGCAAATGGACATGAACAAAATCCATTTTAAGAGAGGCCAGGAAATTGCCTGCAAAGACTGTGATAATCTGTGATGATTGTGGAGTGCTATTTCTGTGTTAAACATCTGCACACATTTGCTGCTGCTGCTTCTAAAAAGAATTTCATCTCAGAGCCCATAAAGCCATGTGTTAAAGAACAAATATTTTGAAATTGTGCTGGTTGTTTAACAAGTGAATGAAAAACCATCTTTCCACCCATCTTACCTGTTGTAAGGAAATAATCTAATCACAAAGGAAACTGCCAGAAGCTGCAGGGGGATGGCTGAGTATTCTAAAGTTTGCAGGGGAAATTTCATTCTTCTGTGACTCCGTTTGTAGAAAACTTGAGGAGACCTATTGAATGCACTATGAAGAGTAGTTATAAGGTTTTTAGACAAGTTACGCTGTTTGCATGCGGTGTTACCAACAATTTAGCTGCAGTTCAAAAATGTGTGAAACTTTTTATTTGCATGTCCCTATATTTTGCATACTGCCCAAAAAGAGAAAGGTAGATAGATATGTAGATATATCTGTATCCTGTCCTGCCCAGTGAATTGCTGGCCCTGGAGGTCTGGGTAGCTAGTTTTTTAAAGCTCTATGAACAATTGTAACCATGTGTGAGTTAACTCATTGGTTACTATTACATTTGTTACTAATTATTTCTTCTCTCATCCTGACATGGATGTTGTTGTGCAGCATCTTGTAACACTTAAGATTTTTAGTATCTGCATTGCTATTATGGCAACTATGATTCCACATGTTTTGAACTTCTTAATTTGCAGTGCTCTTATCTGTCTGATGTTGGTATTGCAGTAAAAATTGTCAACATTCATCTAATATACATGTTCTTCGGTCATCACCACAACTTTTTTATAGCTATCATACCCATGTATTCTGTGAAGATGGATGGTCTTCAGTTTACAGAAAGAAATCCTGTTATTTTGCACTTAACTATATAAAAGGTATAATTTACTATCCAATTTTTTATACTTGTGGCTTGATTTGTGTCACTCAGGTAATCCATACCATAGAGAAGTCACAAATGAACGTGATATGTATGTATTAAGGACAGAACTGATACTGTATGTACACAAGACATAAAAGCTGATGTCTTATATCTGACAACCAGAGTACTGTTGTGACAGGAGGTGGTAAAATCTGGCTTAATATGTCATTTTAAAGCTTGGCTGTAATTTAAAGATTAATATAGCAAGTACATACAGGAAGGATAAAAAATACTCAAAAGCTACGTATCTTTTCCCATTTATCTATTCCTTTAAATTTGAAAAAAAAAAAAAAAAAAAAAACCCTAATGAGAGAAAAGTTTTGACTTCATTGATGTTGAGACCATTAACCAGCCTTTCAAGGTGTTTCCCTTACTAAGAGGGAAAATTTGTGAATGACATTAATGAACTTCTATCTGAATAGAGACAGAAAAAGCCTGGTATTTGCTTTCTGGAAGCTTTATTTTCAAAGGTCATGTCTGACACATTCTGAAGTTCAACCTTTTTTCATTTTGCTGTGGAAGTTTACTGTTTACCATTTACTGTCAGTATTGGTCTGACTGGGATGTACTGAAACCAGACCTAAGCTTTAAGATGAAATAAATTCCTTCATCTCACCCTGAGTAGTAATATTTTCACTATTTTTTCCCTCCTTTTCTCCTGTAAGATCACTTTGAATCCCATAAATGCAAGTTTCAATGTGTGCAAGAACAGTATTTCCTGGGATGAAGTTTCTCACGTGGCCAAGCAGCACTTCCATAAGCCTCTGTTTAATGGTATGAAGGCAGAAGGACTCTGGGCTTTCACAAACAGCGTGTAAAATATCATCTCCAGGGACACATCTTGGCAGAACCTTCCCTACTGATTCTGCCAAGGTAAATGATACGAGGCTTCTGATAGGAGTGAGCATCAGGGGTCAAGGGGTCCTTGTTTTCTCTGTCTACCAATTTATGTAGCAAAAAACTGTTGTCATCACTTCTGAATTAACTGCATGCAGTTCGTTCTGTTCAGAGAGTTAAATCTCCAGCTACAACTTTGTCTCTCTGTAATGGAAAAAGCTGAAAGATGTGTTTATTGTTCTTTCCTCAGGTGGCTAAAGAGTTCAAGGAAAAGAGCAGAGAGGGCAACATCTTAGAGGCCTCTTGTTCCGTACTACAATAGCTTTTACTTCCCGGTTCCCTTGAGCAGGAATTGAATTCTATAAATGTTAAAGCATCATTTACTTAAGTGTCCCACTGAAAGAACTACGTGGCCACACGATAAGATGACCATATATCTGCCTAACATCTGGCAAATCACTGCGTTGTAATATGTAAATAGTGGAAGGGTGTCCAATAGACTGTCCCCATACATCAGCTACTCCAGAACTTAAAGACAGCTCCCTATCTCCTGAGTGTAAGATCAAAGGAAGTGAAATGAAATGTGAGGATATAAACGATGTAACCAGACACTACTGCTGCTCAGGGCAAGACAGAGTGGGTTTCAACTTGCAGCAGTGGGCTGTATGCAAGTGTGGGCTGGTACGATGTAGGTGATTCGAGCTACAGTGCAAAATTCCCAGCAGAAAGCATGCTGAATCCAGCCAAAGGTGTTTTCCTTGTAGCCCAAACGGACTGAGGATTTGGTTTCTACTTATTTTAATTTGTTTCTGCTTTCAAGTCTTGCTTTCTGTATAAATCCATTGAGCTGAAGTAGCTAATAGGAAAAGTAATGTTTGAACACTGAAAGGAATGGCAGTCCATTGTGGTAAAACAGTGTTTATTTCTATATCTGATCAACAAGAACTAAAAAAATTAAAGCAATCCAAGTTATTCTAATATTCTAGAATCTGCTATTTTAAATATTTTATATATCACTTGATGGGAGGCACCCCTCTACCTAAATTACTCAGCATAAATGCACAGGGAAATATGTACAACTTGTTGGTAGTGTATAAAAATTATTTTCACTTTCTTGTTCCATTTTTGAAAAGTCCTGAATGAAGAGCATTTTTTACAGTGATGCAGACTAAATACTAAAAATACTAAAAATTAGGGGGAAAAGTTCACTTTTCAAGTTCATATGGAATATATAAAATGTGAGGTTTTTTTGAGGAACAGTCAGCCAGCAGCATATACTCTTTTGATGCGTCATTGAGAAAAAGAGGAAAAAAAAGAAACCTTTCTTCTACATATCAAGATCCTACCTTTCCTACACCTGTTTTTCATCCAAAATACCAATGTTTCTTTAAGGTGAATTTGTGTTCTTGGGACTCATTCTGTTTTTGGTTCCCACCACTAAAATGAGCTTCTCATCTCAGTGGGATAAATAAAGAATCCCAAGCACTTAAAGTCCATGTGACTCAAGTTACTGAAGAGGCCACCTTCTTTTCTTTCTGTTGAAGCTTGGTGCTCAACAGACCCAAAAAAAAAAAAAAAAAAAAAAAAAAAAAAATCCGGAAATCCGGCCCTGGCTGTTTCTGCCGAATGAACTGACTCATTCACAAGTAAGTTTCCCAAACCCCACTTTTCCTCTGTCTTTTCCTACTTCTTGCTTCCAGCTGTCCGTGGGCTCTGGGGTGGCTTGGATGAGTCGGCTCCCTCTGCGCTGGGCACGAGCCTTGGTCAAGCATCGTGTGTCCCTCCTGAGAGGGCCCAGGTACCTTCACAAGGTGCCACCTGCAGCCTCTGTGGTGAGGACGCAATTAGCAGTAGTGGGAATGGTTTGGCAGCAGCATCGTTCTTGCTCACCAGTTCCTAGGGCTCTCTTCTTTTGGAATTGTGGCGTAGCTGTGTCTGTGCTAGTACTAGAGACTTTAGTAGGGTGAAAAAATGGTGTAGTGTCTTTCTCTTTTGTGTTGAAATACATAATATTTAAAGTATATTTTAACAACGCTAGGAGTTTTTTGCTGAAGTCACTGAGATGGTTTAGACTACAGTTCTGCCAGGTGTTCATTCCTGCAGAAGCAACTAGAGAGCAGAAGTACTGGGAAGCCACATGTCTGTGTTCCTTGTCTGGCTTCTCGGCACATTTCTGCCTTCAGCAGCAGCCTGAGTAGCCGTCTGACAAGTGTGGGTTTGGGCTGCTGCTCACTGTGCTCCTGGGGTGGTGACTTCAGCAGAACGTGGGGCTGACACCGTGTGGGAAGGCAGCAACTTGAAGCTCAGGAGCTCTCTGCTTCAGTGCATGTGAACATCTCTCCTATGAAAGGGAAGAAAAAGAGACATCTCTCCTGGTGGAAGATCGTACTTGACAGCAGAATCAGGGCATGGCAGTTTTCTGAAGCTGTAGCGAAACTATTATCTCTCGAAATCTGTTTTTTGGTAGTAGGCAGAACATGATCAATCTTGAAATTTTAGTCATTTATTCTCCTACCACTTTGCAATGTCTTGTTTGGCTTGAGCGGAGATGGAAGTGGGTGACGTCTGGAGCACTAGTTGTGTGGTGCAGCTTTTGAGCTGGGAAGGCTGTTCCTGCCCTCGAATGCCGGCAGAGCAGGGGCGCTTCGGCTGGCACCTCCGCGAGCAGCAGGCAGGACTCTGTTGGCCCCTGACTGCGAGCAGGCCGTAGCTTTTGCAGCTTTGTCAAGGAAAAAGAAGACCGTCTTTGAGCAAAACAACATCTCAAGTTCCAGAGTGCCCTGAGAGTGTTCGGCTTTTTTTTCCCCTTTTATGGTTTATGTATGGCGCAGTAGCATTACTTCGTTGACTCCTAGTTTCTGTCCATGAAAATGAAAATTTAAAAGAAAAAAGCTTCCAGTGCTCCTAATACAGAAGTTAAAACAGCCGGGAAAAGAATATTACCAGTTTATTCATGTGGCTTTTTCAACAGAAACGAGCACACTTTATCCTTCAGCATCAAACAGCTTCTTCAAGGTTAGTGGTAGCCATGCAGTGCTAAGCTCATTTGATCATCCTGTGAGGAAGAGGCAGCTTGATCACTGTAGATCTGACTTAGGGCTAAGCTCAGTATTTCTTTCTTTTCTTTGTAAAACCTCAGCTCCTGCCCCGCTTTCCTGGCTTCCTCCAGTTCTCTAAGTGCCACTTGCAGCTCTTGAGAGATAATTCCAGGAGATTCTTGCTCCTTTGTAATCCAGTCCAGGGCCATGTGGCTTCTCATCCTTTCATCTAAGGAATACTGGGAGTAGTAGGAAATTACTTCCTGTTATTCGGGCAAGTGAGAACAACATGAAGTTAGTAACATAGTAACATATTCTTCCCCCCCCCCCCTCCTTTAGTAACCAGCTGGGCAAAACTTAAAGCACAACCCTTCTGTAATATTAAATATGTCTTATATATGTATTTTCACTGAAAGGAAATAAAATGCCCCTTAGATATGTGCATATAGATGTTTTATAGAAATTTTTTAAAAATAAGCTACAATTAAATGCATTTTCTGCATATGAAGACATCTTTCGAAGAGAAGCAGTAATTTTAATCCTGAAATTGGGTTTTATTTCCCTTTGAACAGCTTAGAATACATAAATTATCTGTAGAATATAATGTAGTCGAATTGAAGGATGTTAAAAATATCTTGAAATTGTTCTACTTAGAATATTTCTATCTTTCTTTTTTAAACTGGAAGAGAAAAATGCTGTAGTTATGGTTTTTCTCAAGTAAATTTTCTGCTTATTTCTTGATAGATAGAACTGCATAATATCTGCTCTGATAGCAAAAGATAAATGCAGAGAACTTAAATCTTTTATTTCGAAACCTAACTTCATCCATTATAAATTCAAATAGAAGAAGAGCAAATTCTTTCAGAACTTCAAAAAAAATTTCTTTTGGATATTTTCACTGCAGGCAGTTAAGCACTGACTCGTCCAGCCAAGGTTTCGATGTGGTGTCCTACCTGCCGGGAGCACTTGGTTTCACGTAGGGCTTTAAGGCTGCCATTCCAGTGCAAAAGCTGGAAGATGATCATCAGCTCCTGGAAGAATGAGAGCGTGCTGGTTACTGATTGAACTCTTCAAAAGCCACACCTTTGCTCTTGGAAGGAAAAAAGAAATGGGGCAGATACGGTGTTTAAAGGTGATGACATAAAGAAACAAAATTGATCCTAATCGCATTAGGAGGTATAATGAAAGGCATATGGACAGCCAGCTGGAAGCTAGTACTTTCCCTTTCAAAGCAAATGGAAAATGTATGAGTACTGCATAATATTCATATTCTGAATAATACAGGGTTGAGATTGATTTGTGAAGAAGCCTTTATTTACCATTAGGTGGCCATTACAGCCTTGTCTCTAGTCACAGCAATGGGGTATCCAGAGCTTTATGACAATCTGATAATGATGTCCAGGATACTGGTGAAATTTTGGTGCCCAGACTGCATTTTGCAGTCATTTTGCATATTGCTAGTATGGCAGAGTTCAAAATACGTGCTTTCTATCCTTCAAAAAGATATATGTGCAGCACAGCATAAAAAGAGCTTGGTCCACTTGCAATGATACCTGAAAATAATCTACAATCTGTGCCCAAATCATTATATCGTGAGCTTTAATAATTTCAAAACTTTGAATTGCATAGGGCAACATGCAAAGAAAAACAAGGCAAACAAGCAGGGAGAGTCATCCCGAAGTTAGGTAAGTATCTTTGTATATAAAAATGGACCCGCATATGGATGGCTGTCGTTTAGCAGGCATTTCCTCTAGCAGGATGTTGTTTTGGGGGCAGACATCCAGTAGCCATAAAAAAAAAAATATATATATATATATTACTGATTAGCATTGTGTTTCGTTTTATTTAAATGCAGCTGAAGCTGTCAGGGAACCATCTCTAAATGTTTAGGACTTCTGTGGAACACAAAATGATGCAGTTGTTTCAACTGAAATGTGAGTGATGCATTTTTAATGGGTCAGCAGGTACCTTTAGATGACTCTGTGCATATTTGCACTGAACTAGATCCTTGTCTGGATATTTATTACATTGGGAATATTCCCAAGAGCAGTTTGGCTAGAAATCTTTTTCTCATCTTGCAACATTTTGGATTTCTCGAATTTTCCTGTTCTAGGATGGGAGTGTTTCTAAAACCATCCTGTTTGCCTGCTGCCCCAAGGAGGGTTTGGGTAATGCTAGCGGTGAGCGGCGAGAGCTGAGGGACAGGCATTCACCCCCTGAAGCTGTGTGCACCTCTGCTAGCCCAGACTGCGACCTGGTTGGGCCCCACTGCATCCCAGCCTAAGTGACCGTTAAGCTACGGAGCTGATGTCAGATGCCCACAAGTTTTATGCTTTGAACTGAAGAGAGTGAGAGAGAAAAAGACTAATTCAGTAGGACGCAGCCAGTGGTGCAGCTCAAACCCTTGCTACAAACTGAGATGAAGAAAGGCCACGTCTCAGTTCATTTTTAAGGTCCATTTGCTGTTCTACTACTTTTTTGACCAAAAATGTTGCCGTACTGCCCTCTTCTTGTATCTGCATGTTAATATTGAGTAAATTGGGAATCCTATGAGAAAGCAGAGGTCAGTGAGTTTTTCTGAGGAATCAAAAAATGATACTACATTGCATATATACTACATTGCATATAAAACATAGACCTTGTGTTGTAAGCCGTGGTTTGTTTGTCTAGATGCTCAACTAGATTCCTCAGTTCCATTTTTTTTATGAACATTTAGCTAGTAAACTTTGTCATGAGTTCGGCTGCCTTTACTCTTTTCAGCTTGTGAAGGAGACCGTGAATGCAACGTAATGAATTTTATCTGCTATTTTACGTGGCAAAATTTAGGAGATGCATCAAGTGGCCTGTCAAACAAAGTAAGAACTTGCACTAAGTAATTCTGTCTGCTGCCTGAAAAGTGAGTTTTTGCAATGTGCTTACTACCCCTAACAGATAATACAGTCCTTGAATTTGGTACATATGCAGCAGTAATCCATACATAGTACATATGAGATTGAATGAAATGAGGATGAGGTGTCACCATGAGAACTTCCTTTTACCCCAGGTAAAGATTTTGTACCAGAACTGTTATGACTGAAGGCCTCACAACACTCAGCACCACAAAACCAAAGCAAAAGCTCCCCAAACCATGGAGTGACTCATTTCTAGCAAAAGAAGGAAGGTGAAAGGATGTGCTACGCGATTGGAGGCTTCAAGCTGAAGAGTGTGGTAGGTTTCCTGGGGCTTCAAAATCTGTGTTATCTCATGCTGTATTCTCTTGCATTTGATTCTTGATCATTCAATATTGTAAAAGAAATCAGTAACCATTGTGTTTATTTAGAAATTAAATGACCTCATATTTGCATTTCAAAAGGCAGATAATATGTAGCTCATCACAGAGAAATTTGCAAAATCCTGTGTATATGTAATTCTCACACTCCCCTTCCAATGCCACTTGGATTACAGAGTGAGAATCCCAACGCTATGCTTTCTAGTTAACATTTAGCCTGACAACTGCTGCCTTTGCAATTTGTAACGTTTCCATTTGCCCTTGCAGCAGTACATGGGCTGGGCCTTGAGACAGATGAAAGCAATCGTGGAAACCCAGGGCTTAAGGAACAGTAGCACAAACTTTTTCAGTTCTCCTTCTAATTTTCCCATTTGTGAAAGCCTGCTATTGTTAGTTCTTTGCGAAAACCTGCTATTGTTAGTTCTCACTTTTTGTTGGCTGTTAACAAGTCTTCCGTCCGTATCACTCTTTCACCTTAAGAAGACTTCTCACTCATTTGCAACTCACTGTAACTTCAGGGATTCTGGGCCAGCTGCTAAGTTTTCTCCACTCCTCAAAGTGAGGAAGAAAGGTCTTTAGGTTTTAACTGGGATGTTTTAGTTAATGGATGGATTGTAGACATATTTTTTTTTCACAGATCTCTCTGCTTATAGGTTGAAGAGCCTTACTCTGTTTAATATTTGTGCATTTTGAGAGTGTTCTTTCTCAATGACTGATTTTAAGAGTTTTGTTTTCCTTCTGTGGATGAAGTGCATCTTGGGGTCAGAAAATAAGGTGAGATCAGGCACCAAAAGGACAAAACTTAGGCCGTGGAAGCAATACCAAAAGCTTCCAGTTTCCAGCACAGTGTCATCATTTATGGTACTGAAGAAGTATGGTAATTTCTTCCCTGATGCTCTCATCCCTATCTCTTCTTTTAGTCCATTAGACAAATGCCACTATCAGGTTGGCCAAAATACCTAGCTCTGGATCCATGCAGTTCAAAACAGGTGCACTTTAGGAATACACAGGTTACATCCCCAAAGATGCTGCCCCTTTCCCTTAATTTGATGCTTACATGTGGCCATGTGCTGCTTGCACTGAGGGGAAGCAGAGTGGTCCCAATGACATAACACCTACTTCCAGTAAACTGCTGTTATTCATTAACAAAAATCTAAACCCTGTGGTCTACTGGGGCATTTGGAGATTTATATTGCTCCAATTTACACTTCATCATATGGCAGAAAAGCAGAAATGCTGACTCAGAAATACGTGAATCTGTTTTGATACCTATATGAGAACTTTTTGGATGAAAGCTTTAAATATGACTTGGTTATTTAGAAAGCTGTAAACTAACAGCTGCCTGGAGGTTTCACTAGTGCCTCAATATGTCAGTTGTCTGAAGGGATGACTCAAACTTTCTTCAACTGGAATGAAATTTTGAAAAGGCCCTGATAGACCAACAGAGGTGCTCACTGTCCTGCTGAGGTGGCCTGGGCTACAAGAAGAGTGTTTGTCCTTCAACGTGTCCCACTTGACACCATTAGTACCCGTGTCCAGTGCTGTGTTTTAGAGTTTCTTTGAAATACTAGAACAAGGAAGTCACACTCTATTTAGGATGTACCAGCCCAGTGTAAGATTATCAACAGAATTTTATCCAGTAGCCTAGATTGAGCTTGCGATTTTCATTAGGAATTGGAATCAAAGAAGCAAATCTGTTTTATCAAATGGCCAGTACTGTGAAGAGCACGTTTGAGCAGGTGTAAGTGTTCAGAAGGGAAAGGAGCTGTGTCAGTTTTCTATTCTACTTATTACTATACTGGAGTTGAGAAGTTAGCCTGTAATCACTCAGTTAAGATCTTAATCCATCTTTTTTTCATTCTGCTTCATCACAGTGTCCCCATTACTTACCTTAAATGCCACAATTTCTATTAGCTATTACTCACAAAAGTAAGTTACTTCTTTCAAAAGTGGATGAAGCAGAGGCTTTATTTGTTGTTATACCTGAAATTCCAGCATTGTCTTTCCAATGTTTGACTCCAGCATGTAGTGATAGGCTCCAATGCTAGTGCTTGGGTCATCAGCATCCTTGAAGTTACCCTTAGAGAAGAAAAGAGACAGTGTGGTTAGAATGGCAGTGCTTGGTTTATGATGTGCAGTATTTCTTACAGTTATGCATGTGCTTTAGTACTGTGAATGGAGCCTGTCTTCAATGCCCCGTTCTCTCTCTCCCTTTCCCCAGCAAAGGGTCTGGGAGGCTGTTTTAGCAATCACAGTTATCTTGGCAATTATTCATTTTACCAGCCTTTTTTGTGCCATCTGATTGTTGTGAATTGGCTGTGACAACCAGTCGACTTGGGTTTCTTTATCCTTAAATGTTGATCCGTCTAACCTTAAACCTTATTATGCCGTAGGATGTTTGTCAGTCTTGATAGAGTGATGGAAAATGAGAAAACTAAGATTACTTAGATTAAACTACTTAGAAATAATTGATTACTTAAGAGATTAAAGTAGTTTTAGTTTATTCTAATTTTTGCATTTTAGTAAGCAGTAAGCAGTCTAGAACATTGCTCAAGTCTCTTACTTGGCCTCTGTGCAGATCCTACTGCATATTTATAGCTGGTTTATCTGCTATACCCATCATCTTATGCTCTAAGTGCTCCCTTTTCTATCTAGCCATATTTTTAAACTTTTTCAAAATCACTCCCAAGCAGTTCTGAATTCAGCTGGCACTGATTGATGGCTAAGAGTTATTAAATATTTCTATGTTAATGCTCTGCTGCCTTTTGGTTGATCTTCAGTGTCCCAGGGCTCTAATGTTAGAAGAGCCTCTCTCCCATGTTCAGGCTTTACTAATCCCTGCAGTACTCTTGCTCCTCCATCCAAACTCTGGAGTGTAATTATCTGAGATGTAACTCCAGAAAGCCCCTTAAATCAGTTCTGTCCAGATGCTGACTTATCATCACAGTGCTTAAATGCTGACTGTGTGGGGTTTGAGTCTTATAAAGTGTATCTGTGGTAATGAGAACATTTCATAAAGTGCATCTGTGGCAGCCGCGCTGAAGTGTGATGACATGCTCCAGGATTTTGCATTTGCTTTTCCAGTAGAAGCCCCAAACTGCAGGAACCAGCCATTGGAACAAGGGGCTGAATTTCACTTAAATGCACTGCCTCCCCTCCCTTTTCCTAGGGGAGGGATAAGGGCAGGGACACCTAGGAAAGAAACACGAGACGGTTTTGAACCGATTCCTCTGCATAACCCTAGGTGTTTTTCAATGGCAGCTTTGCAAAGATGAACAGATTTCTACCCAATATGGTTCTGCTGAAGTGCTAGGAAATTTATAGCTTTTGAATGCTGTAGCATTAACACAGTGCTGCTGAAATATTTATGTTAGCTTTTAAATATCCCTGAGGAAATCCAACCAGAACTCTGCAATGTGTATACCCTTTTACCTCAAAAATTTCCATAAAAAATGATAAATTACTTGAATCAAAACTCCTTTTAAATTTCACACACAAGTAAATCATGTTATATTTTTCTTAACTTTTACAGATTTTTTTTCCCCTCCAAGTGTATAAAATTCACAGTGCTGGAAAAGAAAACCTATTTTATCCACACACCAGATATTGACCAGACCTCCTTATGCGTCCCTGTTTCTACATTCTCCTTCTCAATATATCTTACGAAGGGAGTACAAATCTTTTTACTTGAAAGGTGGACACTGCAGATCATCTCGCAAAATACAAGAAGTAGTAATATTTCTAAATTATTTAAAATGCATTCCACGCTTAGAACTCCTGCATGTGGTTCTGCAAATATAGGAGGACCTCAGTTGAGCTTTCCTCAGTCTGTGACACGTGCCTTTTAGTGAACTAGCACTTTCATTTACAACAGTTATTTATGCTCTGGAATGATATTTGTCACATAGCACTGTTCTGAATTATCGATACTTTATCTGGTTATTAACTTCAGAGAAAAAGGTATGTAACTTTTAAGGACTAACAGAGCTTTGAGGACTGTCAAAATTACCACTTTTTTAGGAATAAAATTGGTTCAGACAATCTTTATTAGAACGATGGTGAAAAAAACAGTAAAACCTTGAGTTTGGCATCTGGGGGAAAATCTGCTAGCTCTAGACAAGCAGAATTTTACAAGACTATATTAGTGGGAATTAGTAAAGATGCAAACATAACCCTAAAATTATTTGGAAATGATAAGTGTTTAATTATGTGTACCAAGTAATTTTTGTTTATGTGTGATACCTAAGAAAGAAAGCGTCATTGCTGTTTGGAGTGAGGTCATTTCTGCAGTGGCAAGCTTTAGCTGAGAATGTTGCACATTAGCCTACAAAATTTCCCCAAATTTCATATGTATATATTATATACATGTAATGTTATAGTATATTATGTATGTTATTTTAATATACTATAATTTATATTATATTATATTTTTATATATATAAATAAAAAGCATGCACACTGCACCATCCTCCCCTTACCCTGACCTCAAATACAGAGAAAGAAGTTTTCCTAACTTCTCAGTTTGCATCACAGAAAACTTGTCTACACTCTTAAAGATCGAGTTCCTCCCGTTTTATTCCTTTCTGTGATTCTGATGGTACTACAACATACATGCTAACTTGTTACCAGCAGTATGGGAGATGCTTTGCATATTTGAATTTTCGCCTATAAAGTATTGGTTCAGCAATTTGGAGTAGTTGAACTGATCTCCATTGCACGTTTGCACCACTCGGCAGCAAGGGCAGGTGGCAGGAGTCGGCGTGGTGAGCTGTGTCCAGCTGGCTGATGCTCTTTAACACTGTTCTCTTTTAAAATTTAAAAGTAGAAAAGCAAACTAACTCTGATTTAGTTGGATTAGCAGGGAAGATACAATTGCAGAGGTTCCAATAATCCCATCCAAGGAGTTTATTCATAATCTACAATCTTGTATTGATAGCAAAGTCTTGAAGAGATGTTTTGCACTTACACTGGTTGAGGAAACAGCCTCCCGAACACTTTCCACGATGAAGTCCTTGGTGATCCTGCGACAAGGCAGCTCATTGAAGAGAGAATTGATCAAAGCCACTTTTGCAGCATCTCGCCTTGCTTCTGCTCTGCTGAAGCAGTTCTGAAAAAGGACAGGAAAAAATGTACGTTTCTCAGGCATGGTCTGTATTTCCCACTGCATTTCTTAGGTGTGATTTATACTCTTCAATACAAGAAAGATAAGATACTCTTTTCTAAAAAGATTATATTGATTGCTTTTCTCACAGATTGTGACTAGTCAGAGCCAAACATATAGTGAGAAATAGCTTTGACTCGAAGTTTCACAAAAGCTTTTGGTTTAATTAAAAATTCAGCTACTTTGTCAAAGGACTGCAACTCCAGTGATATTTTAATTGAATTTTTAAGTAGTTACTGCAAGTCTTAATTCATCACTTAGTGCTTTTTCAGCCAGAAGTCAAGCTTGGAGTGAATTCTGTTTCCAGAAATGTTTTTAGTGAAAATGTCTTAGATGTTTTTGTTTATTTTTCTTCAGAAAACACATCTGTGTTGATCTCTGCAAAGCAGAATGGCACCTTTGAACTTCTTGGTTCTTTTAAACCAGATATATTACATAAGGGGTTTTGGGGATCTGAAGGGCTCTGCTCAGTGGAAAAGGGCAACTTGACTTGAACAAAATTGGCACCCTTGTTGTCCACCCACCTTTGCATCTCAAGCTGCCGCTCAGCATCAGCAGACCCACCACAGTTTACAGGGTACTACTTGCTATTTTAATCTTGCCTTTTAAAATTCCAGTTTGCTTTTGATTCCTTCAGGGATTGTAATAGGGAATGAACCTTTCTTAGCTCTTTCAAGCAGCAAACAATGTATTTCTAATTTGAATGGCTTGGGGATTTGCTAATTTAAGAGGCACTGGGCGTTCTTAAACTTGCTCTGTGCAGGGTGACCCGGGCAAAGAGCCCCGCTGCTGCTAATCTTATGGAGCTGCAGAGCCCCACAGCCCCCTTGTCTCATCTCACCTGCGCTGCATATGTTGTCAGGACTCACCCGCATATCCCACATCAGGCCTCAGGATCTTAATTATATCAAAGCATTTACAAGACTCAATTGTATACCGCAGGCAGCGAAGAGCAGAGACCAAAGCACCGACAGTGCCTGAGGCCTCAGCAAGCAACTACAAGGAATAGATTACGTGAATGAAATCCATATGAACCCTGCAGATGAATCGCACCCGAGGCTTTCAGGAAGACTTTAAAATGCCTTGAAAGATTTATGCTAATCCGACCACAGGGTGAAATTCTTTTCTGCTCTCAAACCCGGCAAACTGTGGACCTGCACGTGCCATTAGACATTCCTCCCAGGCTGCAGAGTGCAGGTTGTCTCTGCTGCTTCACGTTGCTGCTGAGCCCCAGCCAGTGAATCAGGTCTTGGTGATGGATATTTTGTGAGTCACTCTTATCTGCTCCTCCTGCATCCTTCATGTAGTAATAATAGCAGCGAATTCCCAGCCTTTCTGAACAACCAACTGACGTCTGATTTTGGTGGTTTTAATATGGAGCTTGAAGCTTATGAATCAAGTAAGTTGATGCGTCTCTGTATTCCTCACAGGCTGTGAAGAAAATGAAGGGGCACTCGGTACCAGCAAAAACTGCCACAGTTATCAACACCAACCCTGTCCTTGCAGAGACACGCTGAATTAATTTTTCTAAGAAGTAGATGAAAGCAATCCTTTAAGAATTCCCAAATACAGTTCAAATGCCAGACAACAGCAAATAATGTTAGCATGCTTTTACAGACTTAAACACATTTATGTCTAGCTTTCTTCATAGTTGGGAGACTTTGTCTTACTTTAGCTTAGATGTTATACTTGTTATGATACACTAGGTATTCTTTCCTGTTCAAGTACCACAGTCTACATAGTTTTTTACCAAATATCTTTTTTTCTAGGCCTTAAGGAATCTGGTGTCTGACACAATCACTCCAACTCAACTGGATTGTTTCTGCCCACTTTAATAAGCACTGTGAGTGCACCCCGTTGTGTTACTACTTGGAGACTTTTGGTTATGAGGTATAACTGCCTTCTGGTAAGCAAAAGAGTTACTTGTTTTAATGCAATTAAATATCTATTTATCGTATGGATATGTAGTTCCACAAAAGCAGTGACAGTAATAATTTAAGTTTTTATCTTCTAATTGGTTAGATTTTGTCATTTTAAAGATGAGCATTTTACTCTCCCTTTTAAAATGCATTTTTAGAAAGTTTGCTCAAAGTAACGTGCATTTCTTTGCACGGAAAACTGAATTTGTGGGGTTTTTTTGGGTTTATTTCCACTTTGCTAAAAAAATATAATGTTTCTCTCAGATACTGGCATCTCAATAAATGTATAGAATAGCAAACCATTTTTATATCTATTTCAAGCTACCCAGGTCCAATGCTTTGTCAGTGTGTATTTTTCTTTTATTAGGTTTAAACATTCTCTTGCAGTCAGCATGTAGTTCTGTTTCTACAGTTCAAGGAACAGAACTCAGACTTATGTGCTTTCAATAATAAACGTTATAATAAAAACCAATCCAAATAATTTGGATTTAAACCATCTTTGTGAAGATGAAATCTAGTAAAAATGACAGATAAAAGAAAACTATTCATTTTTAAGTAAGACCAGCAAAGCATCAGATCAAAGAGTCTGCACATATTTATAAGCAAATGGCAACCTTTTTGAGATCAAGAGATTTGCAAATCTGGAAGAAGAGAAAAATTCTTAACATTTACTAAGTGTAACAGGAGATATAAATACTTAACCAAAAAATGGCGATTATAATTTAAAACGAGGACATGTGACTTTCCTTCACGTTTTTTTTTCCCCTTAATTTAAATTTTTTCTCAGTTCTGAAAGGATGAAACTGATTAGAGCTCATTTGAGCCAGGGAATAAAAGGGTAAAAATTTTAATGTAGTTTCTCAGAGGGCAAAGGTTTCAGAGTAGGCTCCTTAGCTTAGGTGTGACAAAGAAGCCTGGGATTATTCTAAGCTATAATATATAGCTCCTGTGTTGGAGGCTACAGAAGGTACTGCTTGTGCCAGCTAGCTAGGCTAGCTGACAGGCTTCCAAGAGACATGGGGAATCTGTTTCAGTGACGTGCTGTAGCACTTACCAAAAGGTAAATATCAGAAGTCATATCCACTTCTAACATGTGCTTTTATTTAGGAATTCAGATGAGTGTAGAGGAAAGAGGGAGGAAGAAGCCTTCGTTTCAGTGTCCAGGGGTAGAATGATATTGCCTGGTCGAAGATGGCAGTGAGTAAGAAGCTGGCAGTGAGTAAGACTTGGAGAAAGTGGTTCATTCCAGCCCTCCTGACGTGTAGAAAACAACAAAGGCAGGCCTTAGCTTCAAGATACTATCCCTCTCTGTTCTCAGTAGGTGAAAAAATCCATAAAGCATGAATGTTTTGTTATAGCACAGTTCTGCTTGGGTTGAAGCTGGGTAATGGAAACTGCTAGTCTACCTCTCCTACTTTGGAGCAGATCCTCAGTGCAATAAAATGCACTTGAGCTGAGCAAGGCATATATGTCATGCAGGCAGGTGGTTTACAGTTCAGATTTGGACTCACTTGGTCCTGTAGCAGCTCTGTGTATGCTGGTTGCCCCTGTGTTATCGCAAAAACATGATAAAATCTGCTTGTTGCACTAAGTCATAGCAAAAACTGAAATTAGTTAGAAGGACCAAAGTTAAAGAAGGGTCCTTTTAGGTGTCCCTCTATTACGTCCCTGGTAAGGAAAGCAGATCCTCACTGGTATAATCAGTGGGAAGAGAAAGGCCAGAAGGGACTGATAAGTGGATTTAAAAGCTGGTTTAAGTTATTCTCAGTCTAGGGCATGCTGGCACTGGAGAAAGATGTGAATGGAGCAGGGAACTTGAACCAAAACATTGAGTGAAACCTCAGAAGATTTACCGTGCTCAAAGTTGTCCTTCCTACCTCTACTTTGGTAGTCTTTCTGATGATTCCCTAAGGTTATAGGAGATAGCTGGCCAACTGTGTCCTCTTAGATGAGAAATAAGCAAAAGGAGGGCTCTTGTCCTTCCTGCAGTGAAAGGAAGGACAAGGAAGTCTCCCTTGACCCTGCTGCTCGCACAAGTAAGTCTGAGATCCGGGGCAGTAATTGCTGCAGTTCTGCACTTTTACTTTTGCGCTCTAGCACTGGTAGTTGAGGCGACTGAAGGACCACACAAGTATTTCCTGGCACTGTTTACAGCAGCAATGAGAGAAGGGTTCAGAGGCCTCTCTACCTGACCACTGCTGGGAGTCAGCCTCTATAAGAAAACTAACCTTTCCCTCTGCCCATTTGTAGCACAGGGCTTTTAGTTTGGATTTTGGCTTGACTTGTGCCTTGGTTAAATTATTTGGACAATAAATAATAACAAATATCAAATGTACTGTTTGCACAGTGTGAGTGTACTGACAGCCTTGATGAATGCTAGCGTGCTGAAGAGGAAAGAAGCAATTGCTTTCTGTGGAGAGTAAAGTTAATACATTTACTAAGTCATTTCTGGATAGTGTGGTGCAAAGATTTTTCTGAGAAACAAAAGTTAACATCTAATGAGTCTATTTCTGTTCTTCCTAAATGTTCTAGTTCTGCTCAAAATTGAAGTTCGTTTTGCAGCTAAATATATTTTGTTTAAAAATAGAGACTTGAGCTAGCCTTTGTGACACACTACAGACCTTTCTCTTCCCAAAGCAATTATAGTCAATTCAAATCTACCCTGTTTTCATTTATATATATATATATATATATAAAGGCAACTCCCTAATTCACTGACTGACTTAGTAGACCATCTTGTAAATTTGGTGCTTTCCAAGTTTTATATATATATATATATATATTCCTTTATATATATATATATATATTCCTATATATATATATGTAAAAAAACTATATAAAGGAATATATATATGTCAGTCAGTGAATTTGGGAGTTGCTAGATTCCTGCAACCAGATGCTTTAGCAAACTTAGTTAACTTGAAGTACCAGGGTAAAACATGAAAGAGAATATTTGTAAGACTAAAAGGACTAAAGCTTAGAGACATCTGTAGATAAAAAAAACAGTGCCTTTCATCACAACTGGAA